AACTCTGCCTCGAATTTATTCGTTCGTCCACGTCCACTTTGTCATCTTCGTCCTTTACTGTTGCTGCTGTTGTCGCTGCTGTTCTAATTATTAAATTGTGGAACTATGCGAATCGCTCACTGATCGACATAATCATCATCGTTATCAATAGATACTTCTTGTTTGTATGTGTGTGTGAACTTGAGACTAAAGATTTCTAGTTTGTCCTCACCTGTACACGCGTCGTCCACTGGTTCACTGGTTGGCATTATTTGACCAAAAATTCATTTACAGATTATACCGTACTTATAATAGGGGAACAGTTTTTATGGGTAAAGAAAAAAAACTCATTTTTCCTTACCAAACCCACAACAACACAGTCGGACGGACGTATACGTGTGAACGCAGGTATGCACAGCCAAAACACTAGTGTTACTAAAGTTTGTTGCTTATTTTCCGATCGCTGGGATTAGAGATGGTATCCATTGAGACCATGGTTCGGGTGAAGACAAACTTGGATTGTAGCAAATGCCCAGTCCGTTTTATCCGAAATAAGCAAATGCACTTACGAAACTGATTTATCTGAGTGTCTTATGAGAAGTCGGCCGAATTAGAATTAGTGATATCTATCTGTCAGCAACAGGTCGTGTATTAGTTCCGTGGAGTTCAAGCCCAGGTATAAGAATAAAGTTGCTCTTGATTTTTCAGTTTCCTAATTAGTAATATTAATGACTAATGACGATGATTATTCTCCACTTTGAACCCGAAATTTAGATTCCCGGTTTTCATGACACAAAAGGTAGCGATAATGTTTGTCCTTTATCGACCCATGCACACACAAGAAAGTGTGTACCGGGAAGGAATCGTCTAACCTGAAATTCCGATATTGAATCGGAAAGATGTGTTCAGTGAAATGCAAACAATATTGCGTTCTGGTCCTTTTTACGCACTGTAGTGTGTGCGAGCACGGTTGAGAACGGTCAGAACAGCCTCAGAAACTGACCATTAATCATAAACATACAATGAAACTGCAGTCAAAACGATAAACAAAACTTTAACCTCTTTGCCGAGTAAATGCACAATGAAGTTGATCACCGTATTCTATCTGCACCCGGCCAACAAACAGGCGAAATGATCTGCTCACATTCACCCGGGCGCCTAACATCACCCGACTGACATTCACATTTTCAAGCTGCATACTAGCTAATGGATCCGCTTTGTTTTACCCAAACTTTCTGTTTCTGCTTGCATCATTTATGCACAGTCCTTTCGCCTATCAATTATCAGTTGGAATCTACGACTTGGTTTACGCCAAGGAAATGTAAACAACAACCAAGGTCAGTGTGGGTCGCCCGGGAGGTTGGTTGTTGTACCGTTTCCAGCCACGGCTCACGTGTATATGGCCATGTATCACTTCAATTAATTCAAATCCATATATCACATAAAAAATCCAAGTAAAAGACAAAGCAGTTCTACCAGATTTCATTCACGTGATCTAAATAAGAAGTATTTCTTCTTCCGTTTCAGCTCATTTACGTTACTAGCAGTGAGACTGATCGAGGATTTCGATCTTCTAAACTGGGATCGTGATGGTGGCGACTGCGNGATGATGACGATGGTGGTGGTGGTGGTGGTGGTAATAATGGGCTTTTTTACATGCTGATGATATGACTTTTAAGTTAGCCACCAGTTTGAGCTAGTGGCAAGCTCAAATCTCAGCTCGATAGTAATTTTCACAAAGAAATAGAGGAAAAAATTGGAAATGGAATGCAGCTGAAGGTAAAACCTAATAGTTAGACTGCTCTTTACCAAAAATCAACCAATAACTACAATGATATTTTTCAGTTACATCCGACAAAGTTTTGATAAAATGCTCGACCCGAGTTAGTTGGCTGTCTCTGATTGAGTCTTGAAAGCAGTTCTTTGTGGAACCACCAGTAATCAGGGAAAGTATCATAGAATGCATTAAAAAACAAGCTGAAATGCACAATGCCGAGCACTGTGTTGCTAAACCTGCTTAAAAACAACCAAACACAGGCTTGAGATGAATAGTGTACGGTTTGTTTGAGTTGAAGAGAACAAGATGGGACCACTGTGGTCAACCGAAACAATATATCGTTCTTCTACATAAACAAACCTTGTCCGATGGGACGAAAAGGAAATTAGTGGAAATCGGGCTACGTCGAGTATTTCTAGATAGCATCTCTTCAGTATCGCGAAATATGATAGATGTGTGGCATTTGTCTCTCTTGACAAAATCTTCACAGAAATTTAGGAAATGCGGAACAGTCTGCCAAACGACAATGTGAAGTTCATTCAGTGAACTCCGGTGAATTCTAAGGAAAACTTGTCAGCTTACATACCAACTGATGGATGCCATATGCCTCGGTAAGTTGGATGGGTGAGTCGAATGTGAAAAGATCAGTGTGCAATCGGTGTGATCTCGTAGCTCCGCTGGTAGAGCGTGCGCTGTACAAAAAGCGTAGGTGGCGTCCACGCGTGGGCTTAAATCCCACCGAGGTTACTGAACGTTTCACAATCTCAACATAGAACTTCAATCTGCCGAACAACAACGTGAACAATGCGGAGATAATTCTGTGTACAAGATTTATCTACACCACTCTTCACAGATGAGGCATGTCTAAGCAAATTGTGATCAGGCAATGTAATCCGGCAATAGTTATGCACTAAGTAGTATTTCCTCTGAGATTAATCGTATTTAATTTTTTTTCTGTGACCATATTTGAGCCAGTGCTGGGTGAATAGACCACGAAAAGTTAGCTTTCCTAGGAAGGCTGGAATTCGTTGGTATGAAAACCCCTAACAAACCACTTTCATAGGCGTTGATCGGGAAGCTGATNACCACATCAAGAAAACATAACATAACACATATTGGTTGAACCAATTTCCTTAGTCAGGAATTGTGATACGGATATGCACAGTTGGATATGCACGTTGCACTGTCCTACATACCAGGCTTTGAAGAGATGCGAGATACGGTTTTGTATCCATCAACATAGTGTCTGTTTTGCTTGAGATAATCTGACTATATTGCGCTGGGGAAGAAAACGAGGACAAATTTCATTGCTGGGGAGATATTTGTACCGCGATTCAGATCGTTTTGAACTATACAAGTACAGTTAAGCATTCCATGGACCTATAGACCA